CCCTTACCGTTCGGTCGACGTACCTCCTCTCTCTCTCTCTCTCTCTCTTTCCCTTTCTATCTATCTATCTATCTCTATCTTCTCATTCGATAAACGTTCGAACGATAACACAAACGAATTCGAAGGAAAGGATGGAAAGAAGAAGGAGAAGGATTCTTTCAAGCGGGAGCGTATATTTTTCAAAGTTTAAGTAGGTAAGCGGCGGGCTGCGGAATAGGAGGTGTGGACGAGCGGGGGTCGAGCAGAGGAGAGCGAGACAGGATACAGGCGGATAGAGGGTACTCGTCACGCGAACCCTTCATCAAGGTGGCAGCAACCTACGTTATATACGCTCACGCGTGGCTCTGACCGGTGGGTTAGGTAGGGTGAACGTGCACGGATCGCGAAACACGAGGACGACGATGACGACGAGGACGAGGACGAGAACGAGGACAACGACGCAAAAGACGGAGGAGGGAAGAAAGATCTTCTTCTCGAGGGAAAAAAGGAGAGAAAACGGCGGCGCTTAATTATCGAAATACTCGATCGAGACTGCTCGAAAGAAGAAGAAGGAGGAGGAGGGGAGGAGGATGGGCGCGACGCGACATAATTATAACGGAGACAACACCTGGCGGGTGTTGGAAAGTCGTTAGCTCGGCAAACGTTTAAGTAACTCGAACGGCCTTTCGGATCGCTATAATATCCACCGCTTCCGTAATCCATTTGTAGCAGCAGCACCAGCAGCAGCCCTTCCATCGGTGGTTCTGTCCTCGGGGCTGATGGCTTCTCTCTCTCTCTCTCTCTCCCTCCCTCACCCCCGAACCAAGACCAGTCGGACGTAGTATGCGTGTCTAACGCGCACGTATACGCGCGCGTTTCGAGGTTGTTGGGGTGGTTTGGGGTCGAGGTGTTCCTGCGATTATGGCCTCGTTAGCCACGGCCCGTGGAGAGAGAGAGGGCTTGTTTGTTCTGCCTAATTTGACAGGGAAATACGCGGGGGACGGACGGGATCGGGGTGGATGGAGAGAGAGAGAGAGAGAGGGAGAGGAATTTTTTTTTCTCCCCACGTGGATTCGATCCGCGTAGATGGACGAATTAGACGTGGCGATCGTAATTTAAACCTGCGAGGCAGTAAGGCAGAGAAGGCAGGGTGGTTGAGAAAATAGGGACGAAGGGGAGAAACGCCCAATTGACTTACTATCGGGATATTTAATAGTCGTTTCCTCGTGCGTCGTATTTCGAGCCAAGAGGGTCGAAGCGACCTCTCCTCCTCCTTCGTTCGTTTCATTCTCGAACGATCGATCTCTCGTACTTTTTAGCTCTTCTCTCTCTCTCTCTCTCTTTTCTCTCTCTCTCTATATATATATACACACACACACACACGCACGCAGCACTCGAAACACGGTCAACGAGATCTGGGAATTTCTAAGCTAAGAAACGAGCGATGTATGGATTAATGCGCGGAGAGGAGGGAGAGGAGGTGGTCGAATCGATGTTTGCGGTCGTGGGCCGTTTGCGGTCTCGTAGGAAACGGAAGAGACGAGGGACGATCGAGGAGAGATCTTTCCTCTCCTCTCCTCTCCCTCCGTCCTAATGGATGGAAGGAGACGAGGATCACGCGCACGATTATTATTTTTATTATTTTTATTTTTATTTTTATTTTTACTTTTTCTTCTTCTTCTCCTTCTCCTTCTTCTTCTTCTTCTTCTTCTTGTTTTTCTTCTTCTTCTTCTTCTTCTCTCCCTGCCTCCCCTGTTCACGGCATCACGGTGCCGAATAATTTCCAGCTCAAAATAGCGATAAGTCCGCAAATTTGCATGGACAGGATGATCTCGCACATCGGTCTCTGCTTGGCAAAGATCGCTAGCGTAATGAGCAAGCCGGAATAAATGATAGCCCTGACGAAAGAACACGAGCACGAGGATCTCCCTCGTCCTCCTGCTGCCCCTCCCCCACCCCCTCCCCCCACTTCTTCCCCTCCTCCTCTTCCTCCCGTTATTCCACCTATTAACGCCCCTCCTCTTCCTGTTATTCCTTCCATTATCCCCCCTACCCCTCTTTCCGCTGCCACTATTTCCTCCATTCCTTCCGTCATTCCCTCCAATAATCCGCCTCTTATCCCCAGCTCTAATCCGGCCGTCGCCTCGGTCGCCGTTTGAAACGCCTGGAAGCCGCGGGTGCTCGTCGTCTGGACGAGGATCGCCGCGTCCTCGGTCTGCTGGGTGAACGTTCTCGTCTCGGACGCGATCGCGCAAAACTGGGACGTGATCTGGCGGATCGTCTGCTCGGTCTGTATCTTCTTCTCCTCGATCGTCTGCGTCCCCTCGTCCTCCGCCCTCATGCTCAGCCCCCCCATCACCTCCACCGAACGCTCGTCGCCTTTGGTCGACACGGACGACTTGTCGGACACGGAACGCTTGGCGCACGCCTTCCCCTCGCAGGTAGCCCCCATCTGGGACGACGGGTTGCCTCCCGTCGGATTGGCCGCGGCGCACGACTGCTCGTAATCCTGATCCTTGGTGAACACGGAGAGGAGATCCTCTTGGCGAAGCCTCGACCGGATGCAGGGGGGCAGGTCCTCGAGGATGGTGATCATGTTCTGGACGCACGTCCGCCGGCACACCTTGTTCTTGGGATTGCACGGGCCCGGGCACTCGAGGATCCCCCGATCCGAGGCGAAACGCGACGGGGAGCCCATCTCCTCGGTCGGTAAGAAAGGGAGAACGCGGGCGGAACGTCAGTGGTGGCGGGCGGCGGTGGTCGCGAGAGGCTCGTAGGAAACGTAGCTCCTAGGCCGTCCGTCCGTCGCGTACACGAGCGCGCACATCTGTCCGAACGTGGTCGTTGCGCCGCGCCCTCTTCCCTCGTCGCCTCTCGTCACTGGTTCTCGGCGTGGAACGACGAACGACGGGAATGGAAGAAAAGATGGACCTGGTTGGTTGGTTGGTTGGTTGGTTGGGTTGGTAGGCCGATGGATTAGATATCCTTTCGACGAAATGGAAAAAAGCTCCCGGTTAAGAAGAAGAAGAAGAAGAAGAAGAAGAAGAAGAAGGAAACAGTTCGTTCGTTTCTCACTCACCCTTTCGTTTGTCTCGAAAGCTTGGCTTATTTCGCGAGTCACAACTCCTCCTCCTACTCCTCCTCCGCTGCTCCTCTTTCTCTTGGACGATTCTCGTTCTCCACGCGGCGGTTTCTCCACGTTTGCGCCCGTTCTCCTCGCATTTTCCACGCGTTTACCCGCGATTTCCCATCTTCGTTTCTCTTTTTTCCTCTACCGTTACCGCACCGCTCGCTACGTTTAGAATTTAGGTTAGAACGAGGCGAGACTTGCAACTTCCTCCCCACCCCTTTTTATTTTTTCTCTCGCGAATTTCGATTCGCGAGCAAATTCGATCGATCGAACCAACGAACGGCCGACCTCGCGGCCGATTCGACGATCGCGCGCGCTCTCGAGCGAGGAGAGGGGAGGGGAGGGAAAAAAAATCGCATCGTTTCCTCTTCTCATTCTCTCCCCCCCCCTCCCCTCCCCCCGCCTCCCCCTTTCTTTTTTTCCAGGCGAATGTTCCCCACTTGCCGGGTCTCGTTCAACGGATTGAAATCGGAGGGGAGGTACGCGGTGTTGATGGACATAGTCCCGGTGGACAACAAACGGTACCGTTACGCGTATCACCGAAGCTGTTGGCTGGTCGCCGGTAAAGCGGATCCACCGGCACCACCCCGCCTCTACGTCCACCCCGACTCCCCGTTCACGGGGGACCAGCTACGGAAGCAGGTGGTCTCGTTCGAGAAGGTGAAATTGACCAACAACGACATGGACAAGCACGGCCAGGTAAGAGAATTTTCGCGGCTCGATCGGTCGTAAACCCGGCGTTTGTTGCGGCGTTCCGGCGTCGAATATCGATCACCTCCAACACCCGGGAGAACAATCCGCCTCTCTGTTTCTCTCTCTCTCTCTCTCTCTCTCTCTCTTCTCTCTCGCTCGCCCGCTCGCTCGCTCGCTCGCTCGAGCCGACCAACGCGTTTTTACGACTGTGAAATTCGAACGGACGGCCTCGCTGCTCGCTCGCCCTCTCTGTCTTTCTCTCTCTCTTTTGCTCGAGAGCCCCCCACATTGAGGGGCGGGGGAGGGAGAATGGGAGGCAAATCCCATGTTCGCCGCCGCGCCGATATCGCGCAGTCCACCCAACGACGGGTTCCATCCACTCGACTCGGGAGATATATCCCGTTTCTCTTATTTATCGGTAAATTCACACGTCGGCGGAGACCAGAGAGAGAGAGAGAGAGAGAGAGAGGAGAGAGAGAGAGGAG